ACATGGCAACTCGCGCACCGCCCCCCTGCTGGGCCGGGTCTGAGGGCCCGTCCTCAGAGCCTCTGCAGCACTGCACTCCCCTTTCAGGGAACGTTCACTAGGGGCTGGGCACCGCAGGCATGCTGGGGTGCTGGGGAGAGAAGGCACCAGGCCCGACTCTACCAAAGTCCTCCCAGGGAGGCACCCAACACAGGCAGGCTTCAAGGTGTCATTTCTGTTTATTTTTAGTGCATCATTTTTACAATCCTTAGCACCCTGGTTTGTTCAAGAGGATCAACAGCAAAGCCCAGTCGGTGAGGCCTCCCACACCAAGAACAAGGCCCAACAGGTCATGGAGGAGGAGTCTCACCCCGCGAGCAGGCATTAGCTTGGCTGCCCGCGGGAAGGAGGCCCCCAAGCAGCCTAACCTGAGGGGACGCTGTTTGGAACAGGTGGCAGTGGACAGATGCTGACACTCACTGGGTAAGCAGACTGTGCCGGGCCAGCCTGGCCTGCCCGTCAGAGCCCTGGAGAGGAAAACATGCCGTCCTTGGCAGAAGGGAGGTTGTTACTCTCCCCAAACCTCTAGTCCAGAAGTCAGGAGCTGAACCCAGGGAAGCAAGAGCACACTTTACCCGAGCTACCCATCTGGCGTTTCCACAGGGAGCACCAGCGCCTCCGGCCATGCGCTCCCCGGGCCACGCGCTCCCCGGGCCACGCGGCTCCCCTGGCCACATGGCTCCCCGGCCACGCGCTCCCCGGGCCACGCGGCTCCCCGGCCACGCGGCTCCTGGGCCACGCTCTCCCGTACGGTGCGCAGGCCGTTCGTGAATGCGGAGCAAGGCACTTCTCAGTTAATACAAAAAGCTGTGTTGGAGTTCCTCATTAGGCCCGACCGACCTGAAGAAAGGCAAATGGCCACGACTGGCTGCCGCGAGCCCACATGCTTGCCTCGCGTTCCCGGGCTTAGGCAATTCCGTTCCTAACGCAGACTTGTACTCAAGAGACCAAAATTAAAATAAAACTCCCTCGGAGTTCTCCCTATGAAAAGCCCCAGCATAAATGAGCACTCAAAATACGCTGACATCCAGTGGTCAGAGGCCTGGAACAGAAACAGTTAGTGGCTTATGGGCATGACATTTCAGTACTAACTACGCAGCCGTTGTACCCGGGCGTCACGGCCACTGTGCAGGTTAGTTACACCTGCTGACCCATCCCACCATCCCAGTACATTTTATTCTCAACGGGAAGGACAGCCCTCCTCCACCTCCCAAAGGCTGCGGGGCCCCCCACACTGTGGGGCCCCAGGAATAAGAAGTTGTGATTACAGAGCAGCGCACACCCCACATCCCCGCCCACCTTCCGCTCTCGGCCGGGCCCAGCTCACCCCACTGCTGCTGCCACCGGGGCGGGGGAGCAGTCAGATCACTTTAGTTTTGTGCTTTTTGGCGGCTCCAAGTCTTACTCAGAATGTCCATAAAAGCCCACAACAGTTGTTACTTCTAACAGAGGTGTGAAGATTCCCGAGGCCTGAGAATTTTCTACCTGACAAGCTCAAGAACTGGAAAGTAAAAGAATGAAAGGATGCAAAGGCAACACCTATTTCTGCTTCAGCTAAGAACAGCTGTACAGATGGCAAGTGAGCACACAGCAACACACACAGCAACACAGAGCGGCCTGCTGCTGGCCTTTGAGGCCACTCGTAGCTAGGCCAATTCTAAGCACAAGGAACAGCAATGTTTCCAGGTCAGTCACACGCCACCTGGATCCAAGTTCAAGAGCACACAGTGGGCCTCTGTCCTGGCTGCCCCCTCGCTGTCCTGCGTCTGAGTGCCACCCCCGCAGGCTGCATGGGCAGAAGCGGTGCGGCAGCTGAGGAGGGGAGCAGGAAAATGAGTCTTGGTCAAAGTGTTTATTCCCTGGAGCTGGTTATGGGGGAATTCTCGTAGGCTTCGTTGGGGATTTTGGGGCACTTGGCATGAGGGAGACGTTTCAGGCCCCACTGTGCTTCAAGCAGCTCCCGCGCACTCCCAGGGAGACCATCTTCCTGCCAAGACCACGGGGTCCAAGAGCTCTCGCAGTCACCTCGGGGCTGGAGGTCGGCACGGAGTGGCCACCCCTGCACGGTCATCCCGGTGCTGCTCTAAGTCGGCCATCCCCATCCCCTGAATCCACTGGCTCTCAATTCAGCTTCTGTCAGGCTGACGTCACCGCCCTGACCAAGGCCAGGGTGAGAAGTGGAATGAAGACTCTGGGCAACCGAAAGTGCGTTTTGAAACAGGAAATGTTATTTCTACAGGGAGTGAGTCATCGTGACTTTCAGATGCTGTTTCTTTGACAGCTTTGCCTCTCTGATCCTGCTAAGCCTGGAAAACAGCCTGAGAGCAAAATCTAGTAAGACCTGAGGAAGTAACTTAAAATAAGCGCATCCTTTTTGCATTTTTATCAATATGGTAGTTAAGCCAATTTCTTCACACATTCCCACAATACCTTACACAGAACGAATTATAAAGTAGGCAATGTAAACAGTCAAGCTGCTCAGGAGTCCAGTTCAATTTCTGAAGCACAGAGACAGCTGACCATGACTCTCGGACTATTACACTCAACAGTGTAACAGGACCAGCGGTCCACGCACGCACCCCCAGGGACAGGCGTCCCTACTACAAGCCCAATGTTTGAAGCTGTATTTTAAAAAAACATTAAAGAATGAATAGTAAGCATTTCCTGTCACAGCAGAAACCACTGCAAGGGAACATCAGAGCCAACAAGAAGTCATTCTTGTAACTTTAATCTGGCTTCCGGGAACCTCCTTACTCAGGCCACCCTCGCAATTCCCTGTGAAAAACATGAAGCCTCTTCAATGAAGCCCACATTCAGAGCATAACTGTGATCAAACACTCTAATGCGTAACATCTACCAAAGGCGGTGACTCTTGCTGACCAGGTAATGGGGAAAACACCAACAGAACAGTCTGCGTAGTTGTTTGTGGCTCTTCCGAGTTCTCTCAAATAAAGAATTTTAAGTGAAAGTAAAACTTACATTTGAATAAAAAAGGCTTTCCCCACTGGCGTGGGCCATGCTACTCATGCTGCATGACAAAGGTCTGGGCGTGGGGGAGTCTCCCGAAAAGTCAGCAGGCTCCACAGCTGGCTCTAGCCACTTCCCTTCATTTAACGGCCGTCACTGCAATTCTGGGAATACTGTGTGGTTACAAGTTGACAAACAGATTCAGTATTAATGTCATTTCTGGTCTAATATATGCTTGTAACGTGGGTCCCGAAATTCTTGAGGCAGACGATAATAATACAAAGTCTAATGTTTCTCAGTGTCTCGTTTTGTGACTCATCATCGTAAGTAAAGCTGAGTTCTTTAACAAACTAGCCTTGAAAGAACGACTGGAAGCAAGCCCAGTGCCAGTTCCCACTGAGGTTTTGCTTTAAGACAGAATGCTTGGGCAAAGCAAGTGGAACCAGCAATATACACTTTAGCACAATTAAATGCCCAAAACGTCACTAAAGCCCAAGATGTCATTAGAAAACTGCAGTCCTAATAATGATCTTTTGTTCGTCAGCCTTAAACAAGATATGCCCTAGGCACATCATTGCTTGAGCATAATGTCAAATAACCACATAGAGCAAGCTTTGTCTAGCACCTTTCATTTCCCTGAAACTGCAGTCATACACACTAATAAAGGAGGGGGGGGTCGTCATGACCTAAAACGCTTTGCAGATTTGCAGCTCATAATCTATTATAATTGTGTACACCCTGATCTAAAATGCTCTGTAGCTTTGTGATCTATTATAATTGTGTTGTGTAACTACTGCTTAAAGATTCTTGAAAAATTAAACTACAAAATACCAGGGAATACAAAATATATAAATAAAGACCTTCTGAGAGGCTTCTTGGGAGATGCTTGCCACCTGATCGAGTGCCTGTGTCTCCTCACTCATCTTCACCGACACCATCGTTTCCTGTGGGAACACTGACACCCCAACTGCTGGAGCTGGCCTCGGCAGCCCCCACATACAGACTAGGTGGCTTATAAACTGTCTTGCATCGGCCCGAAGACGCTACCTACTAGAAAATAAAGCTCAGTACTTGAGGGCAGCACCCACCCCCTAAGTGGTGCCAACTCAGGTGCTGCTGGGACAGACCCAGGAGGCTGGGCTGACGGCTGGCACCAGCGTCTGCGGCCCAGTTCCCCACGGATGCCCAGGCCCAGGCCTGCAGGCCGGGAAGGCTGCCTCTCGGGCTGCCCAACCACATCCCTGCTATATTCGGCACTAGTTACAGCACATGCTCCTTTTGCAGTTCGCTTAGGACACATCTGAAACTCTGCTGTCGCTCGCGTCCTGCCAGCAGGTGAGTTGTGGGAATTTGCAGTGGGTGTACCCTCAAGAGCACAGTCACGGGAAGGCTGGATTCAGTGCACCCCACTCAGCTCTCAAATCCAGTGAGAGCCCGGAAGGCAACCTGGCCTTCATTTCCTCCTGTAAATGCAGGCAGCTCCTATATTCTGTTGTGACTCTCAAACGGTGAGTCCATGAACTGGAGAAAGCGTGTTAGTTCCTGACACCAGAGCTCAACTGCTGGAAGCACCCACCGGCAGGTAGCACACCCCTGCACTCAGCACCAGAGCCAGGGTGTCCGTGACCCAGGGCTACCACATTCTGGAAGAGCACGGACTGCCGGGAGTCACTGCTCCCAACCTGCAGCCCATTCTCCAGTCTTTCACTGTCAGACCCAATTCTTCCTCTGCAGACAGCTGCTATGACAGCTTTACTTAATGTGCAAACCCAACCACTGCTGTGTGGGCTGAGGGTGGGGAGGCCTGGCCACCAACAGACCCTACCTACCCCAGAATTCCTCCAGGAAGCCCAAGGCATGGAAAGGCACAGAGACCCATGGCCACCAAAAGAAAAGAAACTATTATCTTCAAATAAAAGCAAAACTGAAAGCCAGTATGCCATTAGAACAAGCTTTGATTTGAGACACCAAGAAATACTGCTCTTCAAAACGAGTGTCCTCTGACATAAAAGTACTTGTTTTATGAAAAAAATGTAGTTTGCACCTTCTGACAGGTGTGCTCTGAAGGTCCCCCACAGAATATATTGCATCACAGGTAGGGGAAACTTAGTTCCTTCTTATTGTCCAAAGCGAGTCTTCAGAACATCCCCGTCCAGCGAGGCATGTGGGCCCCAGAGTTCTCACAGGTCATGCAACAAGACCCGCAGGCCCGAGCCCAGGGCTGCCTCGCGCGTGGCTGCATCACACATGGCTCTCACAGGCTCGTCTCCTCACACACCCTGACAGGGATGTTGTAGTGCCGATCGTCCTCCGCGATCAAGGTCACCACTGGCCAGTCTGGTGGGGGCTCGGTGGGGTAGACCGTGACGAACTCTTCGGTGCTGTATTTGGAGAGCCGGTACACCCGGATGGTGTGGCGCACTGCGTACGCGAGGAGGAACATCTCGACCTGGGAAGAGAGACACAGGCCTGCTGAGGGGACACTCGGCAGCCACAGCGACTGCCAGCTCCACCCCTGGCATGCCACGGCATGTGGGGCGTGACCTGGCCAAAACCCTCCTCCCCCCGGGCGCTATCCTTTGCTGTGTGGCTGCTGAGAAAAAGCAGATCGTCTGAAACAGATCAACAGGTCAGAGGTTTGATGAGGGACTTGTCTTGAGTCTATGGAAAGAGCTCTCGCAACTCCCGGACAAAGCAACCACCCCGCTTAACAACTGAGCCGAGAGCAGACGCGAGGCTGACGAGCACATGAAGTGTGGGCAGGGCCGCCAGCCGCCCCAGGGCGGGTGCCTCACTCCCACCACGCCGGCCGCAACCTCACGGACGGGGTGGAGCAGGGCTGTTCTTTGGAAGCTGAGGAAAAGGGTCTGGCGCTTGATACAGCTGGTTAACACAACACTACGGGAACTTCACGGGCTATGGTTAACGTCACGGGATACGAGCTTTTCTTTGCCTGAGCAAAGCAAAAAGAAGCATGGGCGAGGATGGGTTGCTGCAGCACCGTTGGCAGGAAGGCAAGGCAGAGCAGCTGCTTTAAAAACAGTCCCTCAGGAGCTGAAACAGTTACTCTACGGCCCAGCAACTCCACTCTCAGGTGCACACCTAAGAGAACTGAGAACACGCCCAAATTCGTGGCCCAAATTCGTCGCCACAGCTAGAGCGCAAGCAAGCCAAATGCCCAACAACTACTGAGCAGATGAGTAGAACGTGAAGCCCCCTCTGGAACGCTACTCGTCAGAGGGAGGGTGACGTGCTGACACGTGCCACTCCATGCTGACTCCCAGCAGTGCCAGTCACGGAGGCCACGCTCCCTGCGACTCCACTCAGGCGAGGTGTCCAGAGCAGGGGAGTCTAGTGTCGCAGACCAGCACGCCTCAGCGCGCTGAGGTCACAGCTTCCTCTCACGTGGTTGATCATGTGGTCTGAAGCCAGGGGCGGAGATGGCTGCAAACCTCAGTAACGCGAACTACAGACCACCGTGCTGCGCACTTTAAAAGGGCAAACTTTATGGTATAGAAATTACACTTCACTAAAGCTATTATTTTTATAAAGTGGCCTTTCCATTACAACAGACCTGGTGGGTACTCAGAAAGGCCCAATTTTAGTTTAATATGCAAACCAGACATGAATACCAGGCTTTAATTGCAAAGCACTTACTGTGGCCAAGGAGGCAGAGGTGACCCCAGGACAACATCTGAAGAGAATGCTCTCCGACCCTGCCTGGCTTGCGGCGGCAGCCCCTTGCTCGCTCCCACACCCCAGGTCAAGGAAGCAGAGCCGGGTGTGGAGGGAGGAAGTGAGGACTCCGCATGGCAGCCTTAATGCTGCTTTGCGGCTGGCGATTCCACTAAAAAAAGACTTAGGACAAGTCAGGGCAACTTAACGACCAGACCAAAGAGAGCGCGAGGTGCGGTGAGCCACAGGCAGCCGGGAGACGGCCCTGTACCGGGCTTCTGGGTAAAGCTCCAAACTTAGTACATCTGTGAGAGATCCAAGAGCAGGTGGACGCGACTGGCTTCTGCGACAGATTGTCTATTTTTAAGGATGAGCCTGTAAAGCCGCAGCTGCCAGGCTCAACCAAGGGCCAGCAGATGACCCTCCCACCCGGTCGCTGACCCGCCCACCCACGGCAAGAGCAGCACAGGCCGAGATCCGCCAGGGCCTGTCCTGTGAAGACGGCCCAGGGTTCTTTGGCCCACTTCACTGAACAAGGACAGTCCGGCTCCCTGGCATGGCGCAGCCTGGCTGACCCCGCGCTCAGCGCAGGCGTGCCTGTCACGGTCACATGTCGGACGGCTGTCGCAGAGAAGCCCGCCCCCTTGTCCCGGGGGACACCCCAGCAGCCTCCTGCCAGGCCGACATGGTGAGGAACTGAGGCCTCATGCCCAAGGCCAGGTGAGTTAGCCATGCTGGAAGTGGACACGCAGCCCCAGCTGAGCCCCCAGGTGGCTTCACCTGAATCATGTGCCCGAGACCTGAGCCAGAGCCACCCACGAGGCTGCTGCTGCTGAAGTCCTGCTGCGCAAAGCCTGTGCAGTCACTTGTGTGGGGTAAAGTTGCTGCGGAGGCCAGTATGTTCCCACAGATACAACTCACCTGTTCCAGGCCACCAGTGTGTCCCACCTGGTTTAAATGGTTCCTCAGCAGCTGGCCAGGGTCATTTGACGTGTCCCGAGCAAACAGAAGCACAGAGAAAAAGGGCACTTCCTTCCCCTTCTCTTTATCATCGTACAGTTCGATGGCTCTGTTTAGCATGAGAAACTTGACAGCTTCGTAGAGGCTATATTCCTCTTCTTCATTTGTGAACAGTTCATCACAAGCTGCCTGCCGTGCTTCAGCAGTTCTCATCTCCGCCAAGCCTGCCCACTGCAGCAAGAAAATGACATCATCACGTGCTTTTGTTCTGGACATCCTGGTGCACTCCCAGACCACGAGAGCAAAAGCACTTCCCGCAATGGGCACCAGGGCTGCTACCGCACTCTTGCATGGCGCCCGCTCCAGCCCAACGGTGCTCCTTAGGCTGCACAAAGTCCGCATTCACTTCCCCACCATTAGCTTGAAATGAAAGAACACGGCACTAAGGAGAGGCTCAGGTGATAGAGTGGAAACCGCGACGCCCCTAACTGCCCAGGGACGCGCGCGAAGCAGCGCGTCATATTCCTTCTGGGAGCTGGGGTGTGTGCGGGTGGCTGTGTGTGAAGCCGGCGGGCAGCTCCTTCTCCTGCCTGGAAGGAGCTGGCCGGGGCAGGCACTACCCAGAAAACACCAAACCAAACTGTACACCTGAAGATGGGCAGAGAGAGGCGAGATTTCCAGAACGTTAAGCTCATTAAATTTCCCCTGTGAGGTCTTACAGACCTGGGTACACTCGAGTGTGAAATGACTAAACCGGAAGTTTTTTCTGACTCCTGGTCAAGGAGAAAGCAGGGTGCTAGGTATTCAGCTAACACCAGGCAAACTCTTTAAGAGAACAAGAGAATCCTACAAGCAAATGTGCCAACTGACTGAGAGTAAGAGGTGTCAATGCAAAGACAGTTCTCACAAATACAGTAAAAACTGCTCCTCCTGAAAACCACTAAAACTTCAAACAAAGGGAAGCTCTCACGGCGACAGCCCTGCCGTGGGACTCTCTCCAATATCTGAGTTGAGAGCTGGCACCGCTTCTGTTTTGCTACAGTCAGTGACTTGTGCTATTTTCCAAAAGTGACCTACTTCTCCTATTTCCAAACCTTAAAACATGAACGTAACTGGGAAGAATTCGGTCCATCTGAATTTCTATCTTCGCTGACACTAAGAAATAGGGACAAAATGCCATCTCCAGGCTCGTCATGACTTAGAACAAGCACTGACAAGACTTAAGGTAAACATTTCACTGAACTCATCTCCTCCAAGGAGGATGCTGTTGCTCGTTCTCCATTTCAACAAACACCTCAGTCTGTGTTCATTTACAATGATTTTAGCCACAAGTGCGGGGTGATCCACCGAGGGAGGGTCAGAGGGGTCCACTGGGCCACCGGGAGCAAGAGCTCTGAACTTAGCAGAGGGAGGAAACCACGCGTTCCAAACCTTCTTCCTCAGCAGAGTGAGGGACTCCTTAATTTTATCAACCAGGTCCTCGCTCTTCCCCTCCAGTTTCAGTCCAAGTTTCCACTGCTTGATCCAGCTGTATTTGCTTATGAGTTTCTCTGGTAACTAGAATATCGAGAGAGAGAGACAGCGGGTTAATGTCCCCAGATGTCCATCACATGACGCAAGTCACAAAGCTGCCCCAGCCCACCTTTGCTCCCAGGCCCCTCCCTGCCTGCCCACCTGCGTGAGGAGCACATCCAGAGGGCGCTCAGCAACTGCCTGCTGAGGAGGCTGCCGGAGTGCAATGGGATGTGGGCAGCGAGCCGCAGGCCCTTCACACAAAGCTGCCCAGCACCCTGCTGGGCCCGCCTGCTCGTCCCTAGCACTCCCTCCTGGGCTCACTCAGAATCGCTCTAGGTATGTGAGGTGTCCAGAATAAAGTCAAACCTGCTCCTTCCCAGATGCTGAACGAAAACCCCTTTTCTAATGTTAACTGGTAGACTCAAAGTCTCAAAACTCAAAGGAACAACACTGTATCTACTTGAACTGCCTCATAAACAGTTTTCAGATAAAATCCACCCAGCAGGAGAGGCGGGGTCACCTGGGCAGCTGATGGGCCACTCTGCCTGCTGCTTTCCTGGCACACTTGCTGCTCTGTGGCCCTAATCACAAAGGCATCTGGAAGGCAAGCTGGGACACCGCTCCCACCCCACCAATGACAGCATGGGAACTCAGGTGCGCCTCACAGTCTGGGTGTGTCAGGAGAACACCCACATAATTAGGCTGGGCACAGGCCTGTCACTTCACTGCTCTAAAATTCAGAAAGGAAAAACAAAGTGCACTTCCAAGTCAAAAGACCCCCAAGATCAAGTCACCTCAACACGGGTCACAGGAAGCTGAGTGGGTTAACAGTAGCCGAGTCCCCACAAGGCCACGTGTTCGGTCCCACTGCAATCTGGGCCTCTAGGCCCCCTTCACGAGCAGCAAGTCCAGTTCCCCTTCTCAATCTACAGCGAGCATGTGAAATCAGGGTGGTTTATACTCTGGCAAAAAATCAAAACCGTAACAGTCGTAAAAGCAGAGTTTCTCACTAAGGGGACAGTGGGGCTGTGGCCCCTCATCTTAAGATGGCAAACGACCACTTCCAGGGTCCCAAGGGCAGCCCAGCTCCACACTGCCGTCCTGCACTTTGGCAAGAAGTGGCAGTTGGGCACAGACCTCCCTCAGCTTTCAGGCTGATCACCAGAAGCTAAAATGCCCTCAAGTGGCAAGAGGCTGGCATCACAAGCGGGCACGGAGCAGTACGGCTGCTCTGAAACACACAGCACAGGGTGCGGTGTTTCCTCTGTTAAGGCAAGTATTCATTTTTTAAAAAAGAGTTCTTTATTCATGCATACAGAACTGGGGTGCAGGCCAGAGGTGCAGGGGCGCTGAGAGGACTCACCAGAGACAGTGGGGAGCAGAGCAGGCCCGCTGAAGAAGTGCCCTGCTGCGGGGAGCAGCGGGAGGGCCAGGAGAGGGCTGCTGCGCCCTGGGGGTCACCTCCGGGGTGGGGATGGAACTCGCACTCAGTGGCTGCAGCTCGCTTGCAGTGCTGCGCTCTAACCCTCTGCACCACCAGGGAGGCCCAGAAAGCATTAGGTTTAAACATGAAGCAAAGGGGAGGGCGTACGTACCGCCAAGCAGAATGCAGTGGCCACACAGACGCGAGCTGGGAAGGGGAGCCCAGAAGCCCACCTCGGCAGGCCCAGCACTCAGCACGGCTCCCGGCCGGGCGCCCCCGCCCAGGGGGGCGAGACCCTGCTCCGGCCCTCGTGGCCTGCAGAGCCGCCATAGCTTAGCTGTCTGCTACCCAGTGTCACAGTGTGGATTTCTGGGGGTGCATAGACCCCATAGAAAGTCCACAACATGATGTGCAAAAAGAAAACTATGCGGAACCGGTAAATTAACTCCGAAATTGCTCACTCCAAAGAAAACAGGTGACTATAATTTTAAATATAGTTAAGAGATCGTGACACATGGAACACAGCCATTTTTTCTACTAAGCACAGAGAGACCAGACTTCTAGAAGAGGGGAGACTTAATAAGCAGCAAGACTTCACCAGGAAAACCATGGCCAGGAATGCTTAAGGAGACTAGTAACTAGCCGAGCGCCCCCTCCCCTGGCCCAGGCTGCTCTCCCCAGCACAGCCTGCCCAGAGTGCCCGCGGTGATGGCGTGACAGCCAGGAGCAACAGCGTGTCCTCCCTGCGCTAACCCCTGCAGGGCTCTGGCCCACAGCCTACCCCACCCTACGCACACCACCGCAGTCCTGCCTCTCCGAGACATGCAAAGACTCAGAGAACTGGAAACCAAAGGGCCAGAGGACCGCCGACTCAGGCACCAACGCACCGGGCCCAGTGCAGAACAGCCAGACCAGACACCTCCAAGGTCAGGGTCGGGGCCCAACTCACCCAAACGCCGAGACTGGGATCTGCCAGGAAGCCACGGCAGGGCACCAGGGGGAGGAGGAGGCTGGACGTCAGAGGGGCAGAGTGGGCAAGGGTCAGCCTCCCAGGGGCAGAAGCAAAGTCTGGGGGCTCTTCCACTGAGCTCAAATTGAGGGAAGCTCAGTCGAGCGCTCCCATTTCCCCTGACTGTCCTAAAACCAAGTATATGTAGGAGGGAAGACAGCAAGATGCTGCCATGGCACACGGGCGGCAGGTTTCAGACCCGGCTGGCGGCTCCTTACAGGCCTGGGACAGAGCCCAGACCCGCGCCCGCCCGCACCTCTCCAGTTAGCAGCCTGGCAAGGCTCCCCACGTTTTGGAGGGTGCTGGAACCGGAGCGAGAGCTACAGAAATGAGTCCTTTAGCCCCGGCAGGTTCTCAGACAAGCCTTAGTAAAAACACGGACGCTGAGGGCAAAGTGCCCTCAAGTGTTTACTGCCCTAAACAGTTCATCGGAATTGTTCAAATAAAGTTTACCACTTTTCTCTTCTGGAAAATACCACTGTTTTGGGATGCTTTATCACAAGGTGAAATCAGCCAGCTGAGCAAACCCACAAGCCGACCTCGTACTGCGGACGGCACCGGCAGGCACCACAGCAGAAAGGGGAAGTTGTTCTCCCAAAGCCAAGTGGGAGCAGGCGGCTCAACCCGCGGCGGCGGCCTACCAGCATGAGCTCCGGGTCCTGCAGCCAGGGCGGCGGCGCCGTCAGCTGGCTCATGGCCTGGAAGAGCGTGGCCCTCAGTGCGCAGTAGTTGTCTCCACGGACTCGCCTGATGGAGGTGAACGTCTGAGACACCTCCTCGTAGCCCTGGGTGGAAGCATCAAGGATCAGTGGGGCATCAGGGATTTCAGGCAGGGGAGGGTCTTACTCCTGTGGGGAAACGCGTGCCTCAGGATTTGGGAGAAGACACAGGAGACGCTGAGCTCTCCAGGAAAACGCTGATTCCTCTTTCTTTAATCAAAGACGGTAACAAAAGTCAGTGCTGTTACCAAGTGTGTACTGAATACAGCACAGAGAACACACAGCAATACTGCAGGATTAAAGCTCTAGTCACCCCCAAGCATGATCGAGGACACTGCGGGGCTTGGGGGTGCTGACCCCCCCACCGCGAGGAAGGTGCAAGTCTGCTTATACCTGTTGAGTCCCCAAGACTACACCACCAGCGGTCTGCTGGTGACCGGAAGCCTGACTGGCACCCGAGCAGCCAAGCTGCGGCCGGCGGTGCCGCGCCTGCGCGTCTCAGTCAGCGGCAGGCAGGGGGCGGCGGCAGCGGGCGCGCTGGGCTCCCCCAGCACCTGCCATAACCCTCACCGACGCCAGCGCCAGCATTCTGGAGGGTCTCTGCGGACCTCACACTCCTTGGAAGAGAGACTTGTACTAAGTTTATGTCTGTATTAAAAAAAAAAAAAAAGACGGCCCTCCCTGGTGGCGCAGCGGGTTAAAGCACAGCACTGAGAATCTAAAGCCGCTTCCGCATGAGTTC